CCGATTTTGTTGCGGTTTGTTTTGTTGAACTTAAAATATCCTAAGGAAGATTTTGAGCTCAAGTTTTTTAAAATTGGTCCATTCTTATGGATTTTAGAGAGGGGAGATACTTACTTATTGAACGCCCCTCGTATCAATTTTGAGACAGCTAAAAAATCGCTGAAAAAAAATAAATCATCGAGAAACGAGTATCATCCTACGTGCTTTAACATCACTAGCACTGAATAAAGGTATTGGAGATTAATCTATTTTAGATATGCAGTCCTCTCTTCGCTATCTTGTTGTCAGGCAGGTGCGCATCTGAATGCATTGCCACTAGTATACTAGAATTCTTGAGGCAGGATGGATTCGCCCCCTGTTGGCTGAGCGCTAAATGAATGTCGATGAAATTTTATAGCGTTGCAATGCATGTACTCTGGCTAATCAAGATTTTGCATTACTCTTTAACATAAATTGCCCTCAGATATGAGACGCTAAACATGTTTTAAAAAATATTCTTCGCTTAGTCTCTCAAGATCACTAAGAGATTGTATGAAGGAGAGATGTCGAACAGACACTTTCATGAAGTTATGTATGCTAATCGCCGTTTTGAGTGTCAATTGTTGTCTTATAAGTTTAATTATATGCCTGAATAGTTTACCCACACCTACAATCACTCTGATTGAAACTTGTCAAATGTCATCTTGAACGGTGGCACGCATCAAAGAAAAAAGAAAGCAAAAGGAAGAACCATAAGATCTCTCTTGCCACTGAGAGTACACCATTGTCAGGGTTCATGCCAAAAAAGTCGCTGCACGAATAGTTCACTTGTGAATTATTTGCAGACCCTTGAAAACACTCATCGAAATAATTAAAATCGAGGTTTTGGCGTTTTGGTGACGCACGTAATGGGCGAGATTTTCGAGAGGGCTCGTGTTTGCGATTGCACTTAAGTTGTTTATCTTTTCTCTTATGTATGCAGTGATTGAGCTGGCTTGTGGCGAGTATGGTGAAGATAAAATCGGAATGCTCATCGAGGGTTCCGAGAACGGGAGGACACTCGAGTGGATGGAGAATCAAAACCTCATCGAACCAATAGAAAGTTGCACAGGTAAGTGAAGGAGGGATAATCATATCTACATATCGGTGGTGAAACTTCAAAACCACGTATCTCGGTTTGCGACGTTGCAGACTTCCCATCGTGTACTTTATTTTTTACTTGGAAAACTACCCAACGGCAATTTTGAAAAACTTCCGTAATTTTTCTTTTCTGTGTGGGGAAAATTCTGTGAAAACTTCAAAGAATTATCCTATATATTAAAATGCAAAGTCCCGAATCTTGGGGCATTAACTTTGAGAGAACCACCGGACCGATTTGCATGGGATTTTTTTTAAATGAAAGCCCCTGAGCTGTAGATTTGCAGGCTGTGATCGTTTTTTCGATTTTCTCAAATTTTCTCCCATAATTTTCTAAAATTGTCTTCGATGCATTAAAACGGAGGTCCGAATCTTTGGACGTTAACTTTGAGAGAACCACTGGACCGATTTGCATGGGGTTTTTTTTAAATGAAAGCCTGTGATCTGTAGATTTACAGGCTGTGGTCGTTTTTTCGATTTTCTCAAATTGTCTTACTTTTATCGACGAGTGAAGTTTAGCTGGGCTCAAATTTTCTCCCATTTATTCAGACTAAAGTCCGCATTTTGGGGCATTAACTTTGAGAGAACCACCGGACCGATTTGCATGGGATTTTTTTTAAATGAAAGCTTCTGATCTGTAGATTTGCAGGCTGTAATTGTTTTTTCGATTTTCTCAAATTTTCTTACTTTTATCGACGAGTAAAGTTCAGCTGTTTCGAGCGGTCATCCGGCCGCTACCTGCTTGCCCGTCCCTAGATACCCCCTCTAGGGTCTCAGCCACCCCTCCCACCACGTTCTTTCGGCTATCTCCGTTTTCTTTCGTCTAGCTTTCCTCCCACCAACCTCATAGAAGAAGGTTTGGGTCGCATCTTCGTTCGTCAGGTCGTCACTCGCCACCCACATTTCTTCGCAATCCTTCGGCCGCTCCGCTTCACCGCTTTTTGATACCTATCCTGGCATCTTATTCTCTACGGCTTGACTGACTATTAACTGCAATTGCTAACAACACGTATAGTTACTGACATTTTATTCTTCTATGTTCTTTTCTCTTTTTAATTTTGTTTCAAATTTGTTTGGTATTTTGTTTCTTCCTCTCTCTTTACTTTGTTGGTCGGTCGACTACGTTGATCGGTTTTGTCGATCGGTTGATGTTTCGCTACATACTTCGTTTCATTTATTTCTTTCTCTTTTTTTTATACTATTTCAATTATTTGATTGTCTCGCCTTATTTTTGACGCAATGGCTGATAGTACTTATGAGAGAGTTATTATGAAAGGTGACGGAAGTTGTTTGTTCCGTGCCGTGTCTTTCTGTCTATATAATACCCAGGACCGACATCGAGAGATTCGAATGCAGACAGTCGCAGCCATTCTCGATGAATGGGAGTCTTACAAAGACTTCATCATTGGAGATCTTTCTTACACACAGCCGATAACAAGTAGTGAAGACTATCGACGTCTGCTGAGTCGAGATGAGGAGTATGCAGGAGACGTTGAGCTCACTTGCGTCGGTCAAATTTTCCCAAATTGTTTGTTTAGAGTGCATAGAATTGGTTCCGACAGAGTTCACGATTTTGGTCGCGGTCAGACAGTTTATGATTTACTTTTTTCTGGTCCTAATGATCGAGGACATTATGATGTGTTGCAATATCGAGGTGAAATGGAAAATATTTCCGTTGCTCCTAAAAGGGCTCGACGTAGGAGTAAGAAAACTTTGACGGGTCGTGTTGAAAATAATGAAAAGAGCAAAAGGAAACAGAGGAAATTAAATTCAACTCCAGAAAATAGTAATCAGCCCCAAGCTAATGATCGAGGTCATTATGATTTGTCACAATCTCTTCAACATCAAAGTGAAATAGCAAATATTCCCATTCCTGCTCCTAAAAAAGCTCGACGTAGGGGTAAAAAAACTTTGACGGGTCGTGTTGAAAATAACGAGAAGAGCAAAAGGAAATTCAATGCAACCTCAGAAAAAAGTAATAAAAAACATCAAGTAGGTTACAAAAGCGCATGTTTGCTGGATTTTTCCGACACCGATATAACGACATTTTCTATCGGAGGTTTAAATAACGAATGTCCTAATTGTGGTGGTCTATTTTTCTCTTGCGAAAAAACAACTTTAGGTTATTTCAGTCTATGCTGTTCTAATGGTAAAGTTATATTGCCGGCGTATAAAGTAATTGATGAACTTCAAAATTTATTGACAAGTCATGACATTCAATGCAAAAACTACCGCGAAAACATTCGCGAGTACAATAATGCAATGTCTTTCGCATCTTTTGGAGCTAAAATTAGCCTTCCTCCTGGTACTGGCCCGTATTCGTTTCGAATTTCAGGTGCGGTGCACCATTTAGTCTCCGATCTGTATCCGAAAGATGGCGCTAACAAAGCTTATGGTCAGTTGTACATTTTAGATACTGGTGACGCGAATAAAATTCGTCTACAGCACGCGAGTAATTCTTCCTTGAGAGAAGACGTGTTACAGACTCTGGACCAAATTTTGCAGAACAATAACCCTTACATTAAACTTTACAAAAACATGCATTTAAAATCACAGGAAGAGGCTGAGAGGGCAAAAAAAGAGAACAGGGTGCCAGTGAATTTTGAGATTCGTTTTTATGATGCACCTCACGCAGACCAGCGGCGATACAATAGACCAACATGTTCCGAAGTAGCGGCCGTTTTTGAGTCGAGTGATGGAGCGCCACCCTCTAATAGACACATTGTTATTTATTCTAAAACTGGCGGCTTTCATAAAATAGATGTTGACAATATGCACTGCGACCCATTGACGTACGCGTTGATTTGGCCTTGTGGGGAGACAGGGTGGCACACTTCCATGTCGGTTCAGGGAACTAGAAAAACTAAAATCAGGCAGTTTATCACGATGCGTGAATATATTTTGTTTAGATTAGCAATTAGAGGCTGTCCTCCCGCGGGCTCTTTTTCTCCTATTTTAAATAGTGGGAAATTAACGCAACAGTTATTTGTTGATTACTATTGTCGTGTTGAGGGCGATCGCTTAAAATTTATTCGTTCTCAACAAACCAAATTAAGAGTAGAGACATACGTTGGATTAGCCGATGCACTACATGCGAGAGCGGAGGGAGAAAAATTAAGAGCTGGACGAATAGTTATCTTACCCTCTTCATTTATCGGTAGTCCCCGAAATATGGCGCAAAATTATCAAGACGCCATGGCTATAGTTCGCAAGTACGGTAAACCAGACCTATTCATCACTTTTACATGTAACTCATCCTGGCCTGAAATCATTAACAGCATCCAATCTTACGACACGCCTAACAATAGACCGGATGTTGTAGTGCGTGTTTTTAGAGCAAAAATTAAAACGCTGCTGGACCTCATACTTAAGACGCATATATTCGGAGAGGTTCGCACGTTTATGTACACCATTGAATTTCAAAAGCGAGGCCTGCCGCACATGCATTTATTGGTTGGTCTTCAAGATAAAGATAAACCGCGCGAAATTGAAGATATTGATGCTATAGTCTCAGCAGAAATCCCCGATCCTCTAAAAAACCCTACTCTCTATCAATTGGTAAAAACCCACATGATTCACGGGCCATGTGGAAAGCTGAACCCGCATTCCGTGTGTATGGAAGGAGGAGAGTGTAAAAAAGGATTTCCTAAGTCGTTCATTGAAGTAACAAAAGAAAATGTGAATGGTTACCCCCTGTATCGTAGACGGCAATTTGGTCCAGTCATAGAAAAATTTGTCAAAGGACAAAAAATTGTCGTCGACAGTCGTTTTGTTGTCCCGTACAACCGATTTTTGCTCACATATTTTCAGGCTCATATAAATGTAGAAATTTGCACGAGCGTCCATAGTGTGAAGTACATCCATAAATATATTTACAAGGGACACGACTGTGCCAATTTACAGATAACTACTGACGATGGGTCAGTGCATCATGATGAAGTCTCCGCCTTCCTAAACACGAGATATGTGGGACCGTGCGAGGCTGCTTATAGAATCTTTGGATATAACATGCATGAACAGTCTCATGTTATTGTGCGGCTCCCGGTTCATTTGCCTAATTGCCAAAATGTGTATTTCTCAAATGACGATGCTGAGGCAGCTCTTTCTCGTGCCGAAGCCAATAGGACTCAACTGTTAGCATGGTTTCTCTTGAACAGCAATCCTGCTCTGAAAAGTCCGTACATATATCCCGAGATGCCTGTTTACTATGTTTGGAACAAACAGAGACGTTCTTGGACAAAACGTAAAAAAAATCTTAATGTTATTGGACGTATGTACAGTGTTTCTCCGTCTGATTCTGAACGTTACCATCTTCGTTTACTTTTGCTATACGTTGCGGGGGCTACATCATTCGAAGATTTACGAACTTTTCAGGGCGTTACCTACGAGACTTTTAAAGAGGCTGCATTCAGTCGAGGTTTATTAGTTGACGACAATGAGTGGGATCGATGTTTGTCCGAAGCTTCTGTTTTTCAAATGCCATCTCAGCTCAGGCAACTATTTTCTTTCATATGCGTCTTTCAACAGCCTCACAA